ATAGTTATATGGAAACGAAAGTTGTTAACATTCAACCCATTCTTTATCATCAGTAGTATTATTTGTGATTTGAATTTTGTGAATGGGAGTTTCTCTTTTGCTGTGTTAAGCGCGGGCTTCGGATGCTTTCACTTCATACATCTACACACCTTTCATTTTTTAAGACTAAAACAAACGATGGATTCTTTGTTATTCTTAATTAAAAAGCACAACAACAATAAATCAGTAAGATGCAGCTCGCCCTCCTCTGAGGCGGCGTGACACGCCTTCACACAGCCCTCCACCGATCGCTCCACCAGACGGCCCGCCTCCACCAGCTGCTCCTGACACACCGGGGACGAGATGGTGGGGCTCACCACCTACGACAATCGCACGTTCACCGAAACAGACGGAAGACATTGTGTTCAGAATAGCGACAGATTATTTTGGGCATCAAGTGTAAGGGAGTGTGTGTTTTTAGAGCTGAAAATGAAAATATGAACTCGGAACTGAAATAAGGGTCAGAAAACAACATGACACATTATAAAAAAGTAAAGTAAAATTAAATAGTGACCAACTGATGTATAGCTGATTAATCAGTCAGTATTTGATTGCAAGTCAGAGTTGCAAGTCTTTGATGGAATAAAGTCTAGAGTTTCTTATTCTAAATGATAAACAAACAACATTTGGTGCCTTATGTACGGTTATCTTACAAAAACCCGTTCAAATTCATGTTTCGCAGATGTACTTCTTACTTTTTAAAACCTATCCAAATAGGATTTCTTCACTCAACCTGGGTAGATATTATGGAGCAAATTACATACGTTTTTTTTTAGTTAACTCAAGTGTTGAATACTATTTGTAACCCTGGTTTTCCTGCTTTTACTTTCTCTTCTCACGACTCCCTACTGTTCACGCTATCGCGAGATTGATGCAAGTATTGCATAGAGGCCGCGTCATTTCCCTTTAAATATGGCTGCGCGCTATTGTTTGTGTGTGTGTGTGGGAGTCGATGTGTTGTGCTGCTGCAGGTAGGGGTTAACCCTGTAAATACTGAAGCTACAATTCTTGTACATCTTCATTATGGATTAAGACACCTTTTTTTGCTGTTGAAATCCCATTCATGAAACCCAATTAATAAAATGTTGAAATTATTATTATTATTAACAATAATCTTAATTAATGACTTCCTTTAACATATATATATATATATATATATATATATAAATGGTATAGCCTATTTTTACATTATAACATTCGAAAAATACACTTTATATAATGATAAAATTACATATTTGTTTATTTGAAAATACACTAAAATATTATATTTGCAATATTATATTTTGAATTTTATTTTTAATTTCATGAAGTTTTTATGTGCATTTTGAGTCAATATTTTGCTCCTTTTATTACTTTAAGCAAAAAGTGTAATATATTATCATTAAATTATGTTATGCCATACACTACCATTCAGGTTTAGGATGAGTAAGATTTTTTAAAAGAAATTATTATTTTTATTCAGTAAAGATGCATTTAATTGATCAAAATTGAAGGCATTTAACATTAAAGACATTTAAAATGTGACAAAAAAAATTATATTTCATATAAATGCTGCTCTTTAGAACTTAAAAAAAAAAAATGCACCAGTTTCCACAAAAATACGAAGCAGCATCATGTGACACTGAAGACTGGGGTAATAATGCTGAAAATTCAGCTTTGATCACAGGAATAAATAATATTTAAAACAGAAAACAGTTATTTTAAGTTGTAAAAATATTTCACAATATTTCTGTTTTTTCTGTATTTTTTTAATCAAATAAACGCAGCACAAGAGACTTCTTTTGAAAAACATTTAAAAATCTTACCGACCCCAAACACTAGCCACTCAGTTTTTCTGAAACTAACATCAACAAATAGATCATTTTATCTCCAGACAGATGTGTTCTAATGTATTCCAGATATCTTTCAATAAATACAAGTTTAAAGGTCAACTCCTCAACAAACTCTGAAAAGTACCTTTGTACAGGCCACCAGCTGTGAGGTGGAGAGCGCGCACTGCGTGGCGGCGGTAATGACTCGGTTCTGCAGCGCCGTGTCCTCGGCCACCTGTGCCACGTTCTTGGCTTTCAGCACCAGCATGGCGGCGGCATTAGCTACGGCTTTAGCCAGGTTCATCATAATGTCCTGAAACATATTCGTCATCAGAGCAACACACTGTGAGGCAACCTGGCCCAGACTAATGAATGAAATAAATGCAAGGATAGAGCTTAACAGAATAAAATAGAGGGCAATAAAAGGCAATAATAAGAGGCTAACTGACTGTGACAGCATCAGCTGAACCACTCTAAATCAAATTTTACGTGTCGAAAATGGGCGCTAAAGTGTTTACAACAAGAGAAACTGCTTTGCCAAAAAATAATGAGACGAGAAGCATGTGATTGGCTGAGGGATTTGACATGAGCCAATCAGTGAATGCAGGCAAACAAGCGAGCACAACAGGGGTTGCAGATGTAAAAATCCCATTCATTTTTAACCAATTTTATCCATTCAAGACAGATGTATATTTCCAGATATATCTGGAAAGCATCTGCTGTGTATGTGTAAATGTCAGTTACATACATTCTAAATCATAAACTTCTTAAAGACATTTTCTAAATGTCTATTTGACGTCTGACAGGAAACGTCCTAGAGACTTACAGACACTGTAAAAAATATGTTACCCAGATGCAAACACGCACATCAAACAGACGTCTCTATATATTCTGTAATAAACTTAAAAATACTGTTTTAATACTTACAACCAATGACAACAAGTTTTGTCAATAGTTTTATATTGTACTGTAATAAAAAAAATTATACTGAAATATATAAATTAAAAATATACTGTACATTAGCGGTGGAACGGTACACAGATGTCACGGTTCGGTACGTACCTCGGTTCGGGGGTCACGGTTCAATACGATTTCGGTACAACAGGGAAAAAAAAACTAATCTACTATGCTCGGTTTCTTTTCATTTATTTTGAACAGACAGTAGTACAAATAAAAAAATTTTCCACGTAGCTGTGAAAATACTAAATATTATTACATTATGTTATATATATAAAATCTGCAGTACATATACAGTATACATACAAGGAATAAATTCTTGAAATATATTTGATTTAGTTTACAGATAAACAAGAGAAAAAAACGTAGCCTATATATGCTGAGTTTCAGTTCATTTTTGTGACACGCTTAATTTGTAGGAAACTCAAATGGCAGAAAGCGACATCCTATTTGTTTTCTTTGATTCTGCTGGTATAAGGAAACGGTTGTAGTGATCGCGCGGCGGTGCGCACGCACACACACACACAAAACACATCAGTTCCAGCATTGCTAACTTGACAGCGCAGCTGGTACGTTATCAAAATAAAATACAGTGAACCAAACATCAGCGCGTGCCCGCCTCTGTGTCACCGTTGGAACGCGACTGAAGTACAAAGCCTATAATTTACATAATAAATAATAGTTTAGCATTCAGATACGTTACATCGGAAATATGGAAATATAATGGAATATTTGGATTTGTGCCGAATGAGAGAGGTAGGATACATGAGCACAAAGCTCCATTTCGCAAACAGTTGAGTGCACAAGCCTTTAAAGTATACTCCTTTGTCAGTCTGTGAGAGACGCATTCAGAATCAGCACATGGTCACTGTCTAGTGGGCTTTGTTTTCAAGTGCGCAACTCATGGCATTCGCTGTTCTTCTGCTGGTGGCCGGTTATCAAACAGCGTTGCACGAATACATGTATCGTTCCACCCCTACTGTATATATATATATAAAATAAAAAATATAATAGTATATATATATATATGTAAATGATTATAAATTTGCACAAATAATTTTGCTTTAACATTTGAATTTGATGACAATTTTGATTTTTAGGAATCCATTTCACTTTTATGACTGCATTCTCTGTTCAAATAATAATTTCTGTTTAAATCACCACAAACGTTTTAAATACAGTATATATTGTATAAAAAAGATTTACATTTCTTTTTTACTCATTACTTTCCCTCATTTTGGGACAAATGAATGGCTGCTGAAAATTCAGCTTTGCCATCATATTAATAAATCATTCTTTAAAATATACTTCCTAATATGTCTGTTTTTACAGTATAATTTTCTTTTTGTATTAATGTATCCTTGGTGAGCATGAGAGACTTGCAAAAACAATGACGGGGGGACAGCCCGTTCAACACTACTTTCAATGTACGGAAAACGGCAGCATGAACATTCCTCAGAACATCTCTTTTTGTGAAGAAAGCAAGTCATACAGGTTCGGAACAACATAAGGATGAAGTATATCCTTTTTTTCCAATTTTCATATACATTTTTGCTTTGAATCAAAGTTTGAAATGCTGTAAATGGGAAAAATACTTCTGCATTCACTACTGTGCTCTATTCCAGAAAGAAAGACGCACCTGGAATCTCTCGTCAGTTTCTCCTTCTCCCATTTGTTTCAAAAGATCTCCGCTGGCCTGGCCGATGCTGCCCGCCGCCGTCAACACCGTCTGTCTGGGCTGTGGGGTGATATTGGCACATAAGAAATGACCTTCGTACTGCCACCGCAACGTCTCAAAACGCAAACGCACGGCTAATCACATCCTGTCCATCCGCTCTGCACCCCACTACAATTACCCTGTCTAGCACAAGCCAAACAAGTAAACAGATTGGGACTGCGCTCTGCAAACCAGGATGGAAAAACACAGCTTAACGAGTTCATTATCAAATCCGCCTGTAAACAGCAGTGCGTTATTGGTGGATTAGATGTGATGGGGTCGAGGGGTTTGCGTGTTTGCATTCGTCACCTCTCCAGAAGCTGGTTCCACGGCTCTGAGCAGGTCAGAAACGGCCCCTGTGAGGGTCCGGGCTGCCCCCATTAGATTCTGCCCGCTGCCCACCTCGTCCTCCATCAGAGCCGCCAGGAGCTTCACCCCTTTGGACATCTCGGTCAGGTTGGAGGAGATGGTGGTGATGGCGCAGCCCACAGCGGTGTAATCTGTGTTCGTAGGGTCACCTGGAAGAGAGATGGACAAAGAGTGAGAGATTTAAAGTTAGAGTTCACTTAAAAACAGAAACACACTGTCAGTAATTATTCACATATTCTGGAAATGATGGTGGCGGAAATTAAATGTTTGTTATATTTCTGAATTAAAAAGGCTCTTTTGTGTGGCTAAGAATAATTAAAAATATTATTAAAATATAATATATAAATAAAATGAAAGATATCTATTATTTTGTGTCTCAAATACACACAATTAAACCATGTTTAAATCATAATTTCACAATTTCTGCATAACTTGACAAGTGCTGTTACTGTTAACTGAAACAAACTATTAAAAATAATTTTCAGTAATTGAAATAAAACTGAAACAAAATAAAATGTTACTATTAGATGAAAAAAATTATCTAAAACAAAAATGAGAAATCTTGTCTTGGCAAATAACTGAAATAAACAAGTTTAAGTACTAAAATTGCTTAAACTAAAAACAAAAACACATTTTTTTTTAATCACATAAAATTACTAAACCTTAAATTTTAAACTAACAATTCAAATAAAAACTGAATTAATTCAACTGAATCATAATTTCACATACCTTGACAGGTGCTGTAATTGTTAACTGAAACTAAAACTATTAAAAATCATTGTAAGTAATTGAAATAAAACTGAAATAAAAATATAGTACTATTAGATGACAATCTATAACAAAAATGAATAACGCTATCTCAGCAACTAACTGAAATAAATACGTTAAAGTACTAAAACTACTAAAACTAAAAACTACAAATTAAAGGTACTGTACATAGAAAAAAACACAAAAACCCTAAAACTTGCATTTAAATAACTTAAACTTACATTTAAAATGAAAACTAAGAATATAAAAAATGAAGTTAATTCAAAATATTAATTAAAACTAAATAATACTAAATTAACACTACAAAACTACAGCTTTGAAATGATGCACAATAAAAATAGATCAAATTTACTTGACTTTTCTTAAACATAACTTTTTTAAACATTACATGACTCGTTTTATCTTAAGCTATTCTCTGACACAGTTGTATTCTTGGTAACCTAACACATAAAAAAGAAAAAAAGAAAAAGAGATGAACTGAAAAAAAAGTGACTGAAATGACACAACTCAATTTTCGTAATAACTGAAATAAATTATTTTTACAGATTCGTTTGTTAATTTCACTCTTTGTTTACTTGATTATAGTTTTAAATATGTAATAATTCATATATTTATATTACTGACCAGTATTTTAAGACTGAATTTGATAAGTAGGAAAAATAAAGAATGATTCGATAAACTGATGAATTGTTCACAATAAAACCAGGAGCAAGTAGAGCCAATTTTACTTTCATGGCTTTAACATGCACTGCTCAGATCTGCAGCGTGCTATAATGTGATCATTATTAGTGATCTCATTCAAAATGAGATCCATATGAAGCCAAACACACATGCATTCCATCTCTAGTGCACACATCCACACTTCACATCATATCCTAACAAGCTCTTCAAGGCATGAGAGCAGATGTAAAGCACAGGCTGCAAAAAAGCAGTAAAGTTTGAGCTGGGCTGCTGGTTAACAGGCAAATCTCCGCACTATCAAACAGATGGCATGAGGAGATTAAATCCAGCAAAAACCTGGTCTGGTCCGCATGGAAGCTCTCCAGAATGTGGGAAGGAATACACAAATCCTGCCAAACAGTTCAGCTTCAGGACAACAAACTTCACATTCATTAATGGATATATTTATTAGTGCAATTGGAGAGTGACTTATTATTTAGCAGTGAGAGGAAACATATTTTCCCTTCATCAGTTGCTGGTAAAAACCAATAAAAGTAGGTATTGCATGTGTCAATTTCTTCTAAATCATCATCATTTTCATCCACTAGTGGTATTGGACAAATTATGTTTATTCATTTATGGCCTGAAATAATGTCCAACAGTGTATATTCATCACAGCAGAATTACAGCATGTCATTTTTAGGAAAGTTATGATCATTTCAAACATAAATTTCATTTCCACCACATTGCTTGTCTTGCTAGGTCTAATTTCAAATGTTATTCTTCCGTAATACACACTAAAATAATAACTACAGTTTTTGCAGAATTTGTCATACTTATAGTTTAATTGGAAAAGATGCACAATTTTTTTTCAAATTTACTTTACTACAATTTTATAAAAAAAAGTTACTAAAAACAAAATGAAAACCATGTATTGTTTTGTATGTCAATAAAGGTCCAGAAGGTTTATGGGTAATTTTCTCATTCGGTTACATACCGGCAGTGAGGTTGACCACTGACGCGGTTCCAGCCGTGATGGCGTCCACTTGGGAGTGAATCTCGTGTTTGGATTCATCCACCTTGTTTTGAACCCACACTCTGGATGCCTTTTTGGAGAAAAGAAAGGAGAGTGAATACTAGCATATTCATGTCTTTTTTCTAAGAAGTCAATAGAGTCAATAAATGAACAATAATTGTATGCCAATGCCACAATGCATTACTGTAATGTCACAATAACACAAACCTTAATATAAATAACCACATTACAAGGCTTTTAGACTAGCTTGTGGCGCATATTCTGACTCAATGTCCCACAAGGGATTTGAACTAGCAACCTTCTACTGCATAATACATCACACACAGGGACATACTGGATGAGGATCTTCTCTCTTAACACCTTCACCCACATAAAACCAGGCAATAGATGGTTTACAGCAATACAACATCATTATTTTTGCACTAGTTGCACACTTTACCTTAAAAAAGTGTATTTTTCTTAGTATAATTTCTTACCATGTCTTGTCCCAGTGGTGGAAGATTGTCTACTTCTCCCAGGTCAGCTTGTGCCTGCTGGACAGCCTGCATACTGGTGTTGATAGTTCCCATCAGTGCTTGCTGGGCCAGACTCTGACGGCACACGAGTCATTTTATGCAAAAAAAAAATAGGCTTTTAAAACACTCTATGGATGTATGCAAACACAAGCTAGATATGCATCTATTTAGTGCATCGTAGTGTATGAATGCAATTTATAGCTAAAGCGCACATGAACTATTTTAGTTCATTTTCAAGTAAGGTTAGAGTAACAGTTTGAGAAGTATTTTACAGCTAGCGACCTGAATAAAAGTGCGGTGAAATCTTCTACAAGATTTTGCGGGAAAAAAGTTAACAGTCAATAGTGTAGTGATGTATTGCTCACACAGCAGTCACTTTCAAACCAAGCAGCTTTCTGTCCGTCAAAACGGTGTAAAAAAAACTTAACTTGTTGTGAAATCTGTGTGGGGAAAACTTTCACATTGCATTGAATCCCGTTGAAATGACTGGATACACCCACAAAAATTCACTAAAAATGGTACTGTAAATGTGCACCTTAACATGCTGTACACTCCTAGTGGTTTAATGCCACGAACATTTGAAGATAAATTTTGCGTATTTGTGTAGATGTTCTGGCCTTACAGTAAGCAAGGGCAAACCTTGCTGGGATTCGAACTCAGAACCTTATTTTATTTATTTATTGCCAAACACCCTAGTTGTTTGAAATTTTGCTTGGTGAGCTCATCAACAATAATAACAAACATTAAAATACATACAATATATAAATACATACACAACTATCTATGTCCTATCAATTGGTTACCAGTTTAGATCATAAACCACTAGGTTACACTGCATAGGTTTAACAAACACCACAAAGGTTATAGTTTACTCAAACTATAGAGCCTGTTTACACAACACCGTTTTTAATTAAAAACAGAAAACATTTTGTGTTTTGGCCATTCATTTACACAACAATGGCGTTTTGGGGGCCTGAAAATGCAAACTTTTGAAAACAAAAAAATGATAACGTTATTGTTTTTGAAAACTATACTGTTATCATCTCTGCGTAAACTAGAAAAAAAAGTGAATTTGTGAAAACTTTGATGTCATGTGTATACGTATTACATGTTCAATCTATAGGTTTGTTTGCAGACACGTAGTGTTTCTTTACAAAGTAACATCGCCAACTACTGGCCTGGCATGCACAATACAGCATTTTTTTGTAATTTTCGCAGATCCATGTAATGCGGGGATTGTTTTGACAATGTTATTATCTGTATGTGAAACTTTTCAAACACTCAAAGGAAAACTTTTCTGTTTTTAGTACAACATTTTTTTGTCCGTTTTTAGTAAAAAAAAAAAAGTTACTTACTTTAAAAAAATCTAATTTTCATTTAGTTTAACTTGATAACCTAAAATAGCAAACTAATACCGAAATAAAAATTCATTAAAACACTATATAAAAAACAAAATTATATATGTTATATTATTATATAATTATACTTTAAAAAAATCTAATTTTCATTTAGTTTAACTTGATAACCTAAAATAGCAAACTAATACCGAAATAAAAATTCATTAAAACACTATATAAAAAACAAAATTATATATGTTATATTATTATATAATTATAAAACTTTAATCTAAAATCTAAAATTTTTAATTTAAAATAATAATAAAAAGTATAATAGTGTCTTAAATATAAAAAGTTGTATACTAAAATAGCAGTGCAGAGAAGATTTGATAAATGCTACGTGACCATCAATTTTAATAATTCACCTAGTTTCAATTTCACAATTGAAAACCTGAAAGCAACAAACAACCAATTATCCCAATTATCAAATGTGACAGTCTAATTTACAATATGTTAGGCACAAATAAATCACAATGAAGATTTAGGCAACAGATGGAGCCGTGAAAGCAGAACCGCTCCGCATATGATGCGACTGTGATATAAACATCATTGCGGTTGCACATTCTCACCAGAGGTGGCATGTGTCCTCTGTGCATCTGTCCCATGGTGATCTGCTGTTGAGCCGAGGGCATGGTGCCCATGTTGAATGTGTCGGGGCCCCCAATTGACCCCGAGCGCATGATGCCAGGCAGCGCCACCGACCCGTGCTCAACTCGACCCACCCGATTAAACTGCTGCTGGAGGATGGTGGACCTACGAAGAAGTAATGGCTCATTATCAGATGCTGTCAGCCTGCATTCACCCTTATATCTGTGAATGATGGTTGTTGTTGTTGTTACGGTAATTACTGACAGCCATTAAAATCAGCTGAGCGACGCTTCCCTATCTGCACCAAGAAAACAGACGCTTCAGGCACTATTGCTTAATTACAGCTCATTGTGAGAGGCCTCAATTTTTGGATTATAGTGCTAGAAGTAACATGAGTAAGTTGGCACAAGGACAGACGCAGGCACTGATGCCCGATGTCTCCCCCTCTCCAACAGAGAGAAGTGGGATGCTGTCGCCCATAACAACCACTTTTCAGGCAGCGCTTGAGAGGACGTGACCCATCTGTATATCCAATTCTGACAGAACCAGAGCCCAGGCCGGATAAAAGCACTGCTGGAGTTGAAGTATGGGGCCATATATACTGTAATTTTTTTTCTTTTTGTTTTAAATTTTTTTTTAATCCCTCCCCAAAAAATAAGAAATTTCCAGATATAATTCAGGAAAAATTTCAGAGCAGATTTTCCAAATAGTCTCAGACTTTTGGATCTTACTATATGTGAGAAACAAATATATAGTTTCATTTTTCATAAATTGTCATGTTATTGGTGTTATTTTATTTTTTATTAAATAGCTAGTAGTAGTAGCTAAATTTATTACTACTGTTATCTATTAGTTAAACCTATTACTGCTATTTATCACTGTATTACTATACAGATGCATGTAAATTAAAATTAATTCAGTGGAAAAACAGTGGAACGTTACATTTTTCTGAAAAACCTTATCAAATATGATAAATATCAACCTCGTTACCATGTTTTTGTGTAGTAAGAATCTGCTTAATTAAAAGTTGGGTAATTGTATCAATATCAAAGTTAAATTATGCTTTAAAAAAAAACATGTTTCACAACCTTGAACAGAAGGCTTGTATTGTCAAATTAAACTGCAAAACTGTCAACTCTGTTAGCAAGATTTTGTATAGTATGCAACTGATTACTGATAACTGGATATGTAGAAACATCAGCATTACATTCTCTTTATAGTGCCATGACCTCGAGAAAAAGGCTTGTAAAGTCAAATTAAAATGTAAAACAGTCAACCCTGTTACTGTGACTTTGTATAGTAAATTTCAGATAATTGAAAAATGCATATTCGTAAAAATATCAGAATTAAATTCTCTAAGAAGCACCGTGAAGTTTGATTTTGACTTTAAACAGCAAACTCTGTTGAAATTATTTTCTATAGTAAACAATGGATTATTCACAACTAGATTTGCAGAAATATCAGCATTCTTTTTCTAAAGTCAAAACACTGAGTAAAAGGCTTGTAAAGTCAAATTAAACCATAAAACTGTCAACCCTGTTACTGCCAATCTTTATATAGTACCTTTCTGAAGCCATAATTATATCCTAAATGTAATTACTTTAACTTCTTAATAACACTTATTTGTTTGGTAGAATGTTTGAAAATTTACAGAAATGTACTTACTCAAACTGCAAAAGACAACTGTTATTCAGAATGACCCAAATACATAAATACCAAGATAAATTTACTGAGCGGCTGAGAAATAGCGAGATGTAGGAAGGGAAATATTCACACATTCACTATCTCTATCTCTCTCTTCCAGAAACCTGATATCTTAAATGACGTTTTGCTGATGAGGTAGCGCTTTTTGTCGAAATAATAATCTCGCTCTCTTGCCCTCAGCGCCTTCCACATCAAGGGTAAAACAAGAGAAAAATGTGTCTCCATCTCCTTGTGATTAAAAATGGCAGTGTGCAGCCTGAGCATTTCCTCCAATGTCATTAGACACCTCAGTTCCACTATGAGGTGAATACAAATGAAACACAGTGATTCAACAAAAAAATGTTTTAGGTGTGTAATCACAATGCAATTAAAAGTGTGACAAGATGGCTGTTGCCTGAAACAAGTACAGATTCATCCAGCATGGTGGATTCCTCATCATAGTCCAAACCAAACTGATCCTTACTAATATTTTGGTGTTAATTTTGTGAAAAACAGTGGATAATATGCTTTGATTATTTTGTTACATTTGTCATTATGGGACTATCTTAAAATATCAACCCCGTTAGCGCATTTTTGTTTAGTAAAAATCTACTAAATGGAAAAGCAGAGATTTGTAGAAATATCAGAATTAAATTATTCTTTTAAGAATCATGTCGTGGTTTCACAACACTGAGCACAAGTCTTATAACGTCAAATTAAAATTGTCAACCCTGTTACCAAGATTTTGTATAGTAAGCAAATAATTACTGAAAAAAAATTGCAGAAATATCAGCATTACATTCTCTTCCTAGTCTAAAGACCCTGAGCAAAAGGCTTGTAAAGTCAAATTAAATGGTAAAACAGTCAACCCTGTTACTGTGATTTTGTATAGTAAGCAATTAATTAAGGAAAATTGGATATTTGTAGAAATAAGTATTATGTTCTCTTTCTGGTGTCACAACCTTGAGCAAAAGGCTTGTAAAGTCAAATTACAGTGTAAAACAGTCAACCCTGTTACCTTGCTTTTTTACTTCAGATAATTGAAAAGTGGATGTTTGTAGAAATATCAACATATCAGCACAACACAATTATAAGTGTGACAAAAAGGCTGCTGCCTGAAAACAAGTTATCATGGGACAAAAACAAGAGATCTCAACTGACTTTTTTGGGGATACAGATTCTTCCAGCATGGTGGATTCCTCATCACCGTCCAAACCAAACCGATCTTTACTCTGTTTCTGTAAAACAAGGGTAGGAAAATATTTAAGTAAATAAATTGCACAAAAAAGAAGGAATATCTACAGGATAGATCATTTTGGGATAGTTCACCCAAAACTGAAAATTACGGCAGAAAGTTTAAACATGGGAAATGTGAATAATATTCTCTTGAAGACATTTTGGGTGAACCGTTCCTTTAATTCACATGTTGAAGAGCCGGTGACTTGCTTTCTTAAGGATGATGTCAATGTATCCAGCGATGAGTTGAGAGATCTGCTCTCCTTCTGTGGTCTGGACAGAGTAATAGCTCTCCTGGTACTCACCGAAATCCTGCATGAGGCCAAACACACACATATAACAGATATGAGAAGCACACATCTCAAGGCTGTGTGGATGTGCTTGTTCTGCTTTAGCTGACAGGAAGTCAGCCAACTGTCCTTGGAGCACAAGTGCTGTACATGAGATGCTAAAAGTGGCTCTTAATGGTGGAGCAGAACTGCACATCGCACAGCAAGGTTAAAACACTCAAGTAGTAGAGGACTGGGGCATTTTATCAAGGAAAAAACAACTATTTTTTACATTATAGCCAAAACAACATTGCTTTACAATAGGGCTGCCCCCTAATAGTCGATTAATCGTTTTTTATTAAAAAAATTTTTATTAGTCGCAGAAAAAAAAATCCACAAGGGCGAAGTCACGCAGATCGTTAACGGCTGGTCTATGTGGTAATACAGTACATCGGGCAGGACATCCAAACGCTCGCCTATCATTCATCGATCTCAAATATGACTTATCATCTGAAATATGTCAGTATTACCAACTTTACATGGCCGCTCAATCTAATGTTAACCTAGAGAAATGTGCGCTAAGTGTGTGTGCGGAGTGTGTAAACGGAGCGCTCACTGCAGAACAGATGGAGGCACCGGTGCGCTCACTTACTCTTAAAATACTCCTTAATTTTTGGTCATACAGATAAGAGTAATACATCTTTCAAATATGTAAAGATTCTAAGTGTATTTGTGTGCACTTACAATACCGCGCTTTTGTAAAATAATGAAAAAACAGGATGCGCTTTCTGCCGTCTCGGTCTGTGAACTTGAGTGCGAAACTCTTACAGACATTAAAAATATATCTATAGAGGGTGAAATGTCTACTTTCAAATAAACCAATTCAAATGGAAGACAAATATTCTCAGATTATGTAATCCGTATGAAACAAGCATGCAGGAGCATCACTACTGCGGAGATGACGAGTCAGTGTCGCCAACTTCATCTCTTAAACAGAAACAAAGAAAGCACTTGTTTATCAGT